GAGTTTCACCATGTTGGCCAGGCTGGTCTCGAACTCCTGACCTCAGGTGATCCACCTGTCTTGGCCTCCCAAAGTTCTGGGATTACAGGCATGAGCCACTGCACCTGGCCTATTAAGGGAATTTTATCACTGGAGTGCAGGAGAGAGAACGGAACCAAGGCGAGGGTGGAATGAAGAGTTTTTCTGAACTCTGGCCAGATGAAAGACCTACATCTGCTAAACGAAAAAGGCCTCCCTTTTCCAGGGACCACAGAGGCTAAAAGAAAAGTTATAACCTAAACTGGAATCAAGATAACAAAAAGAACTGCCTCTGTCTGGACAGCAGCAGGAAGGTCTTAACAGTACAAGGTAGTACATTGCAGTTGACCTAAGATGTATCAGATCTCCATAATTAACTTGGAAATTCCAGCCTTTCCATGACCAAATAGTGAAGCACCTTAAGACTGTTGATGTGTCATAAACAAATAGACACAACAGGGAAAGAGCAGGGCCTGTGGCTTAGACCTTGAGCAAGAAAGCCCCCTTTTCTCTGGGTTGGTGACAGGGACTGCTACCTACACTAGTAGCACCAGAAGCTGGCCAGAGAGACTTCTGTTCTGGGACCAAAGCTGGGTTTTATAGATGTGCTCACTCAACTACACATGCACTGAAAGGCTGCCCATTCCAAGCTGATCCACGGCCAAGGCCAGGGCAGTTCTGCTGGGACAAGCAGTCCCATGTCCTCCTTGTCGAAGACACTCCCCAGAGGCCTTAAAGCAGAAACACAACTTGTGGTAGCTGCATTCAGCAATGAAAATTCCCATATTTAAATCAAGCTTAGGGAGAAGGGCCTCATATATGTTCAGTTTGACCTACGAAGATTTAACAGGCATGAAGATATAACATTATTTCTAAAACATGGCTGGATATAAGTAGGGAATGTGGCACATGTCTACGCTGAGAACTGAGCTATGAAAATCAGTGCATGTAAATTCTTGCGGGGCAGACACTATTGCCTGCCTACCACTATCTATTCTCCCTTTTTTCCTTTCTGACAAAACTCCAAGTTTTTTTCAGGGCCACAGTGTACCAAACTTAAAAAAAAAAAAAAAGGAAGGAAAAAAACAAAAAAGGAAGAAAGAAAAGAGAGAAGATGAAGGGGAGGAGGAGGAGGAAGAAGAAGAGAAGGAGGAGGAAGATGAGGAAGAAAGAGAAGAAGAGGAAGGAGGAGGAGGAGGAAGAGGAGGAAGAGGAGAAAGGAGAAACAAAAGAAGGGGGGAAAAAAGAAAGAAATTACAGGAACCAGCCTCCACTGCTGCATGAGGTGCCCATGTAACATTTCTGGCACCTGAGATGTAAGCCAGGTCCCTTGATAGTTTCTCAAAGAACTCTTTAAAGGGGAAGACTTGGCTGCTACCAGTCTCTGTCTTCCACAAGTCTCCCTTCTGCCTGGAATAGGAACACAATCATGAGAGAGCCACCACCTTGCACGGAAGCACTCAGCATGGAAATGAACACCACGTGCCAGGCCGCGCCATATGCCATGCACTGTGAATGGCCGAACAAGACGGCAGTGCCATGGAACTCCCTGATTTGGTTAATCCACTGAGTTTTCTGTTATGTGCAGCTAACCTACATGTTGTAAAAGATCATTTGCTTTGCAAAGACCTCTAGTGAATTGACTGGCAAGGCGCCATGAGCTAGGAAGTAATTTGATTTACAAATTACTTTTCTGACACGAACTAAAGATATAGAATAACAGACATACTGGATAAGTCTCCCTACTAACAAATGCTATTCAGACCGAATCCTGAAGATACATTCTTAAGTGTAAAGATTCTCAGTGTGGTCTAGCTGTGGCCTTGGGAAGAAACTCCTGAGAAAATGGAGCGGAGTGAAGCCAACCCACCTGCTCTGCTGGGTGACATTGGTCAATCTCTCTGTGACTCAGTTTCCTCAAATGCAAAATGAAAATAACAGTTCCTACCTCAAAAGTAGGTTGTGCCTATTAAATGAGCTGATATTTGTACAACGCTTAGACATGTGCCTGACACACTGCTTAATTACTGAGGATCTACTAACACTATGGCAAAACTGGTGACAGTGTAGCTAAACATTAATAATAAAAGCCAGACAGATTCATTCATTCTGTAGACAACAACTTCTTTCCTAAGGCATGCATCTGTCAAATAACAAGGACGTGAGATCCAGCTGCAGACTGTGGCCAAGTTGAGACAGTTTTAAATCTAAGGCCTTCTCTGGTTCTCATAATCACCCTACCCAGATTCATGCAATACCAAGAGTAGCAAAGTCTACATGAAGAGCTGCTTATCAGTAGCATGTATTTATAAAATAAAGGTTGGGTAAAGAGACTAGCAAAGAGCACTAAAAATAGTTCTATAAGCAAACAAGCTTTTGTAAGTCGATAGTTCATTAAAAAGTCAATACTTGAGCATCATTCTTATGAGAAATAGTCAAGAAAAGTGTCATGAAACTTGCAGGAATGTGGCCTCTTATCATCTTAGTCATCTTTTTGTTTTCCTAAAAAAGATAAAAGAACCAAGTTAGCCATACACTTGCTTCTTTTATCTTTTTTAGATTCGAACACTAAAAGTATCCAGGAGTTTCTACTAGGCTGTACTTCAGCGTCCAAAAGGGCACAGGCATTTTATACAATGTAGCCAAGTGCCAGCCACAGGCATGTAACCTAGTAAGTACTGAAGGTATTGAGCCAGCCATAGAAGTTGTTTCAGGTCAGGAGAAAACTTTTCCCAGATGAAAGTAATCTCAACTAACTCATAACGTCAAGGCAACTGGATACCAAAAACAATGTTATAACCTACTCTCCCTTTTAAATATTCAACAAATACAACAGGATGTGAACTTACACTTCCCCTTTTCCAATCCCAAGAGGAACAACAACAACAACAACAAAAAAGACGAAAATCTTGAGAGTGTGAAGATCTCACTCCATAAACTTTCTGTGTGCCTGTTACCATCTTTCTGGTTGTACATTATCAACTAAGCTGGCAGAGGCTCAGAAAAGCCAGCGTGATAAGATGTAACCCTTTCTTTCCTCTCCAGCAGAACTGTCCAATGGAAACATAACGGAAACCAAAAAATGTGAGCCATGTGTAATTTTGGATTTTCTAGGAGTCATATTTAAGAAGGTAAAAATAGACAGGTGAAGTTTGTTTTATATTTTATTTAACCTAATATATCAAAATACTATTATAGCCACATGTAATAAACATAAAAAGTATTAATAAGATATTTGATGTGTTTTTCATACCAAGTCTTCAAACGCTATGTGTATTTTAGATTTACAGCACACTGCAATTCTAACCAGCCACATTTCAAGGGCTGGAGAGCCACAAGTGGTATTGGTTACTAAGTTGGACACATCACTCTCGAAGTCAACAGTAACTGAAATTTGCAGTGTCTCAAGTTGCCTCGACGAGGGGCAAACAGATGAAATAGATCATCAGCTCAGTTTCAGCAAGTTGCCAGCCTAGAAAATTTGGTAGTATCCTGAATGGAGGAACATGCCTCATTTCAAACTAGTGTGAGCATGGATGGCTTTTAAGCTAATGCTTCCTACCAAGTACTGGTAATGTCACTTACTCTTTACCCAGGGAAACCTAGTCACCAATGCAAAAGCATGTGTTGTTTTTAGCTTCATTTTATATAGGAGTCCAAGAAATTCTGCTCACTTGACAAACCCATTTTCAAGGAGTTCTCCCAGAGGAGCAGGAAATGGTCAGACATACCCACTGACACACCCCACACAACTCGACATCTTATTCCACGTGGCCTATGTGTCAGTCACAGACATGAGAAATGAGATGTAGCAGTGATCAGTTTTTGCAGCCATGGATGGGACAATTTGAAAGATGACCTGGTCTTACCAGTATTACCTACCTCAAAGGCTTACTGTGATGACCAAGGACAATAACAGAGAGACAGCTCTTAGCAAACTGTAAAGCGCTATACAATTCTACTTAATACTGAGAAAGAACACCATTCCTCACCTGGAAGAGCAGATAGAAGAGCAAATAGTAACTTGAAACAGAGATGTTATTGGGGGTGGGGGAAACCATGAAAATATATTGACTGTTCTTGGTGGACTTTGTTCTCTTGAAAGTGTACAGAAAAAGGTTGAGCAGGCTCTAGTACATTTCCCTCGAAATTTTGGGAGACACTGAAAAGTAAGCGAGCCAGCTGGGAGGACAAGCTTCTACTCCCTGCTCCACTGCCCATTCCTCCCACCCCCACCAGCCCCACCGACCTCCTCATCCCAAATATTGTGTAAATCAAGACAGTGGTTCCAAACAATTAGATTTCTCCTTCCCAGTGCTTACATGTGACCTGAAAATGCAGCACCACCGGGGATACTGGCGCCTCCCGGAGCAAGAGTCACCGCCTCCCGGGGAGTCTTGGCTCGAGGTTTCTCTCGGGCGCAAATGCCACGGGGCTGGCTCTTGCGCAGCCCTCTCGCCTTCTCCAACAAAAACAGACAGGCTCGGCGACCCGCCGGAGTCTCATTCTACCTGTCCGACCGCCTTCGAAGGCTCTGGGCAGGCGGCATGTACGACGTCCGGCGGGAGTCACCCACACAAAGGCGCCTTGTGCCTCTGCGCTCGGGCCCCCGGGTCCCTGGGCACCGCACCCGGGCCGGGCAGGGAGAACGCCGAGTCCCAAGATCGGCGTCGCGAGTGCCGAGTCCTGAGATAGGCATCCCCAGCCCTCAACCTCCACAGAAAGGCCACCCCTACTTCCTGGTTTAAAGATGGGGCTCCCCCGCGCTTGCCGCAATCCGCACCCCCGAAAGGAACAGCTCGGAGCAGGTACGCGAGATCGGGGCGCACAGGCCACTCGGCAGAAGTTTCCATTGTCACCGCGCTGCGCCCTCACCGCTTCTCGCCGGCAGGAACGGCTGAGCACCCTCTTCCCCAGCTCCCCGCCCGCCCCATCCCTGAGGCTGGAGAACCCTGGACGCCCCCCAGCCAAGGCCCGCGCACCTCTAGTCCAGTCCACCACTTGTTTGGGGCTCCACTTGGTCACGGGTTCCATGGTAAACGGCTTCGCCCCTCGCTGGGCTAAAGAGTCGGAGGTAAAGTGCCGCTGCCTGCGCTCCGGTGCCCCTTCCCGGCAGGGCGCGCCCGCGGCAGGTCCCCTTCGCCCGAGCGACTCCGTCAAGGCTGCATGGCCGCGGTCCGCGGGTCGTCCCAGCGCGGCTCCGCCAGGGGAGCGCGGCCCTCTACTCCCAGCTGCCACCGTCCAGCAGCAGCTCCTCCTTCCCCTGCCGCCGCCGGGATCCCGGGCACAGCTGCCGCTCCTGGGCGACGCCAACAGCAGGCGCGCCGGGCTGCAATCCCAGACCCCCGGCCTCGGCTCGGGCGCCTCCCGGCCCGGGACCACTTCCTCGGATCTCCCCGGGCGCGGTTCGCTCTCCCTCCGCCCGTCTTCTCGCCGGCGCGCTCCCCGGGGTCCCCGCTCCGCGTGCGCTGGCGTCCCGGAGCCTTCCCCGCGCAGGTCCCACCTCCAGCGCCGCCCTCCCGTGCCGCCCTGGCAGAGCCGAGCGCAGAGCGTGCGCGCTCGGGTTGCAAAGTTTCAGCTCCGGTCGCTGCAAACCCAATAAAAGAGGGGGCGGGCCCGAGGGCCCAGGGAGACTCGCGGGAGGGGGCGGGCCCGCCTGAGGCAGCTCGCTGCGGTTACTTTCCCTCTCTAAACCCGCGGGGCTCACACCCGCGGCGTCCGGGGCCCGGCTTTCCTTTCCAAGGGGCGGGTTGTAGATCGCGCGCGCACCCTGGAGAGCCCGCTGGCTGGTGTGAGGCCCTGACCTGGTTGGGAGCAGAACAGTTTGTCTCGCTGTGAGCAACAATACACTTAAAAAAAAAAAAAAGATCTGCAAGTTCTGTTCATTTTAAATGCTTTGTATCATAATACTAGTCTGTCATTCATTAAGCCGTCATTTTAACTTTCTTAAAGTAGAACAATTTTTGTTTAGGGAGGGGTAGATAGAATCTCGTTCCGTCGCCCAGGCTGGAGTGCAATGACGCGACCTCGGCTCTGCAGCCTACGCCTCCCGGGTTCAAGCGATTCTCCTGCCTCGACCTCCCGAGTAGCTGGGATTACGGGCACCTGCCACCACGCCCGGCTAATTTTTGTATTTTTAGTAGAGACGGGGTTTCACCATGTTGGCCAGGCTGGTCTCGAAATCCTAACCTCAGGTGATCCATCCGCCTCGGTCTCCCAAAATGCTGGGATTACAGGCATGAGCCATCGTGCCGAGCCAGAACAATTTTATTTCATTTATATGTTGACTGAAATCGTAACAATGTAACTTTTTAATGCTATTGCTATGATATTTCAACTTAGAGACTAAAATTAGATTGATGGCTTTAGCGTTATATTTTGCTATATTATAATTTCATATTTACAGAGTGAGCTCATGTTCCTTCGGATTAGTCATTAGCCGTGAGAGGAAAGTGTTGGCCAAGAAAAAAAAAAAAAAAAAAAAAAATTAGCTCGTGCACAATTTCAGCGCCTGGCAGAGGGAGGGCCCTTCCACATTCATGGACTCCAGCTGAGGCCAGAGTTAACGCTAATTTGCGGGGGAAATCTAATTTGAATGCCGACCTCTCCCTCAAGTTCTCCCTGCATCCTCCCCCCACCCCCGCCCGCCACCCCTACAACCACCTCCATCACCACTCCTCCCCTAAGCCCCCACTCCCGCCCCCAGCAACCGCTACCTCTCACTCTTTTTGGCAAGGAATGATTCTTACTTTCAATTATGGTTTATTTACATCTTCCTCTTGGAGACTATTAACCCCTTGAGGGCAGAACCTACTTGATCTCATATAGTGTCATTCAGTATTCATTCCTTCAGTATTTGTTGAATTCGTGTGATGTGTGCTATGTACACGGGTCTGTTTGGATGCACATGTGGAAAAATGGCTAGCAGCCAGCCTAGGATCTGATGAGCTGGAGCAACCAAGCAAAAGAAACTTTTTAAAACGCAAAACATCAGACCTGCCTCCCATTCAACTCCCCTAGAGGACTGGGCAACACAGAGATACACAGCTAGCAAATACAGTGATTTTTTTTTTTTTTTTTTTTTTTAATCTAGCAAAAGTGAGTAGCAGACCACGAAAGTTGGCAAAGGCATGACAAAATTCCTGGTAGAGTAGTTGTAAAAAGTAACCTTAAACTTAAGAACATCCAGTGTTAACCATCTTTATAGCAGTCAGCAGGAAGAAGGACCTTGACATCAGTTCACTGGAAAATGTAACCAATCTGATGCATACCTGTTGTGTCATTTCTGATTATAATTAGGGTGACCACATAACTTACCTCCAAATCAAAATACTCTTGAGCATGAAAGAAGACTACTGTATCAAGAATTACATTGGACTAACATGAACAAAGTGGGCCATATGGTCCACAATTATAAAGAAAGGTCAAATATGTATGATTTTGCCATGCAATTTTACTTGATGTTTTCACAGTGCCTTCAAATTCCTTGGCAGTAGTCTTTACCAGAAAAGCTAAAACAAATTCTGCCAGTCAAGCAACAGTTTGCAAAACATCTCACGAAGCCAATACACTGTCTATGCTTGGTACATAAATACAGCATAGCCAAAGGGGAAGGCCGCGCTGAGATCTCTAACCTGGAAGACCAATTAACTACCTAAATGAATTAGCATTCTGTTTACACTTCAACTCCTGGAGGCTAATTACTATTTAAATAAAGCCTTCTACCTTAATTACAATCGTTAGCATGTGAAAGTTTTTGGGAGGCCTGCCTTCCTAGCTGAAATGCAAACTTGAGGATATACAAAGCTATTAATGGCCTATAAGAAAGGCAGAAGCTTAGGCAAATAGCTTTAAACATTAGACTATGTATAAAGGATCATTTGTACATTTTCTAACTTTTCCTCTCTGCTGGCTAAAATCTGTAGCTATTACACCGTATGTTCAGGCACATTACCAAACTGCAACAATGCCATTTTCCGGATCAGAACTCTTCATTTGTGCCTCGATGTTTTTACTACAATTTCTTGCACACACAGGGAGTTCAATAAGCCTTTTAAAAATTGAATTAAATGTGTAGAACTGATGCTAGAACCCAGATCTTCTAGATTTCTTTCCAGCTCCTTTGTTTTTCTGGCTTTGATCCTTCTTGTGTGTTTAAGTCATCTATTCCGTTGACGAAATATGTAGTAGATACTTATTAGGCACTCGGAAGATTCAGAAATGAATGATGAGTAGCCTTTTAGATAAAAAACACCATGTGACTTTCTAAGGGTCGATTTCTTCTGTGGTCTTTAATCCATGGAATGTGACCAAGGGAGCCCAAGGACCAATGTGATATTAACATTCTAAGCTTGTTCAAAATTTATTACTTCTTTATGTGAGAACAACAGATGGAGTATTTTGGATTAGTGGTTATTACTATAATTTGATAAACACAGAGGAGCAAACTAAGCAAACTTTTAAGCAAATTATTAATCTGTAAAAAGCCAGTCTCCTTCCCTAGTTAAAAACAATGTTTTCCAGAATAAAAGAAAAAAATAAAGCAAGTTGCTCCAAATATTCAGCTTTATCTCACAATCTGAGCTTTTTCTCTTATTTCCTTTACCTCACATTTCTTTTTAACTATTTTTGGAACATTCAAAATTATTTAATTTTTGATATATAATTGTCTAATGTATGTTCTTAAGTTATCTTTTATCTTGAGAGACACCAAATAAATCTGCAGTTTTCTGCCTGGAAAATATCCTACAGTTAGAGCTAAGTGTTCTTATCTATGGCATTACATCACTACAAAGTCAGCGCTGGTTAACTAAATTATCCAGACTGCTCACGTTCCTGTCTTACATTTAATTCCATTTGGTCTGAATTCTTCACACCACAGTAATGTAATTATCTCCCTAAACATGCCAGGTTCCCTACCAGATAATTCAAGTCGTAAAGACTTCAAACTTCATTATTTTTTATTTCTAAAGTGCTGCCTTACTTATTCAAATTCTTCTGATCATTCAGGAACATTAAGTCATTCTACAGCTGGAAAGCTGATATGTGGCTTTCTCTTAACAGAGACCTGTCTATAACTCAAAGATCAACATCAATTAGATAAAAATTCAAAAACCTCACCTACTTTAAATCATACTTGGAAAAGTTGATTAATCCTTCTAATAAAAAAAAGAAACATTTGTACTCAGAGCTAACAACAAGAAGACAGAGAGAGAGAGAGAGAGAGAGAGAGAGAGAGAGAGGCAGAGACAGAGACAGACAGAGAGAGAGAGAGAGAAACACTGACACTGTTAAATGCTGTTTTCAAGACTTATCGTTGTATCTTGGAAGAGTTGTAGATGAGGCAGTAGCCACAAAAGACCTGGATGTCCTTACCCTGAATTGTAGAAGCTTCTTAGGAAGGAGGGTGTTAGGACAAAGAGGGAGCAATCAGGCCTGAGTTTTGTTTTGTTTTGTTTTTCCTGTGGGTTTTGTTACTTTTCATACCCCCATCAGGCTGCAGAGTATCTAAAAAGAACAGAATGCCATTTGCACCAGCTGTTCTTGCAGTTTCAACTTAACTTTATGAGACTCATAATCTCAGAACAAGTCAACATAATAGCAAGAGTTTCAGGCTCGATTTTTGTTTCAATCATAAACTGATAAGGACAAAGTCTCAGGGTGAAAAAAGATTGATGAACGTCACTCTAAAAATAAAACAATAATTAAATTAAGCAATGTAAAACTATAACATTTAGAAATAAAACGCAGATTTGGTGGCGTATGGTAGCTCACACTTGTAATACTAGTACTTTGGGAGGATGAGGCAGGCAGATCACTTGAGGCTAGGAGTTCAAGACCGGCCTGGCCAACATGGTGAAACCCCATCTCTATTAAAAACACAAAAATTAGCCGAGTGTGGTCATGAGCGCCTGTAGTCCCACATACTCGGGAGGCTGAAGCAGGAGAATCCTGAGCCGGGATGATGCCACTGCACTCCCGCCTGGGGCGCAAGAGTAAAACTCTGCTCAAAAAAATAAAAAAAAAAAAAGAAAGAAAGAAAATGCAGATTTCAGTATCCTAAACACACTAAGCTAAAAATTTTTTAAATCTCTACAATGGTAACAAGAAGAACATAAAAATAATTGTTTATATATTGAAGACACCTCTAGTAAAAAAAATAATAATAATTTAAAAATATATATTGTTTTATATTTTTCTAACTTTAGTTTGGCATAACAAATATTTAATAATCCTATTTCAAAGCAAACAGAAATATACCCAAATGCTCCAGACTATAATTAAGCAGCTTTAATTAACTGTGAGTTCAGTCTAAAAGTTGTCGCTCTTCCATCACTTAGCTACAATTCCATACAGAGGAGGAAACTTTCTTCTAGTTCAAACCTCCCAAAGGTATTTAAATCCTGCAGCCACTGCTAATCAGTGCATCCAGATTTTTACTAAAGGCACATATATGTTTCCCCTTGGGGATCCTTGGACATTTGAGCCTGTAGCAAGGAGCCTATGTCTTCATTTTCCACAACTAGCTCCTTGCATTTGGAAATCCTGTAACCATTTGGGATGGGAGA